CCCCCCTCCCCCCCCGCCCGCCGCGGGCAGCGCCGCCGCACGTGACCGCGGCACGTGACCGGGCAACAACAAACCGGAGCACGTGACCAGGGGCGCTGCCGGTGTCACGTGGCGCTCGCGCCGCCTCACGCCCCCTCCCGCAGCCGGCCCCGGCATGGCCCAGGAGCCTGAGGGGCGCGACCTGCCCCTTCCCTGCCCCGTGCCTTGCCTTCCCTTGCCCTGCCCTGCCGAGCGATGGCCGCGCGCGGTTCTTCTGCCCTCCCCGCTCGGCGGCTCCCGGCGAATGGCGGCTCCGCTGTTCGCTCCTCGCCAGCCGCGTGAGGAGCCCTCGGGGCTCGCTCTCCGTCAGGGTATCGCGCAGAGTGTGCCCCTTCCCGGGAGCGAGCTCCCCGCTGCAGAGCGCTTTGCTGGGCTGCCCTGAGCCTGTTCCCGGCCGCAGAGCGGGGCCGGGGCTCGGAGCGGCCTCTGGGGTCACGGAGCTGCGGGTGCGGGTCCGCGGGCACGGCCCCTGCCTGCCTGCCAAGGGCTCCTGGCAGGGGTGCTGTGAGGCATCGCCCCGCATCCTCCGGGATAACACACTGGCCCCACCTGGGACTCTGCATCGTGCTGCTTGAGCTCGGCATGCTGGAGATTTTTTGGGGGGGTCAGCACCTGTCTAAGCCACTGCTGCTTTAGGAATGGAGCCTGCGTGGTGCAGGAGAGACCTGATGGTGAGCGGCGGGAGTTGGGATTTGTTCGAATGACGGCCCCAAGCTCGTTTATGTTTCCCGTGTTCTGCAGGGTGTGCGCGGTTGCTGTCCCTGGTTTCCAGGGCTCTCCTGTTCTGTGGAGCAATCCTTAGTACCCCACCTGGGCACTGCACTGCGAACGCGAGGTGCCACGCGTGGGCTTGCCATGGTGTGGTTTCTTTCCTCCTGGGAGTTTGGACTGGATAGAACTCGGACTTTATTCCCGGGACTGCCACCAACCTAGAATTTTGGTCTAAACTTGTGGGTAGAAATTTAAATACTGTTACTGTTCAACATCATGAGCTATTTGCGGAATAGTATTAGTGAATTTAATACAATGGAATTCCTAAATTTAGTGGCAAGACCCAGGCTTGACAAGGTAGAATTTCCACCTTGCAGGCCTTGATAACAAACAGCTTTTTAAAAAACCTTGGGATTAAAAATTTTGATACATATGGCTTCAAAGAGATTACTTTATGGATAAGTAACTTTATAGGTGGTCTTTGTAGGGGGAGGGAGGTTTGGGGTTTTTTTTCTGGTTATTTCAGATATTAACAACCCTGAAAAATATGTTCATACTGGTTTTTCCCAGTACCTCCTTCTCAAAACAAGCTGCAGAGTAACCAGATCAGAAGGTTTTTATTATTCTATGCAACTTTGTATGGAAGTGTTCTTTTTCCTTCTTGCCCCTGGAAGTTGAGGCAGGATCTGGAATTCTTAAAAAGCACATGCAAGATGCTTTTGTCAGCATATAAAGGGGGGTGGGGCTTTAAGACTGGTTTGGTGGTTATTTTTGTGAATAAGGAAGAAATAATCCAAGTGATACCAATGCAGGATCTGAGGCTTTCCGTGAGGGAGTGACTCAGCGATCCTAAAGCCTCCTCTGATCCTGAAGACATTTCTCCACATTAGTGATGGAGTTGCCTTCTTGTGGGAGGTCAGTTTGGCAGTGCTTGGCTCCTCTCCTGTTTCTGCAGCTCTGAGCTTGTGCGAGGACAAGGGTGGGGCACACCATGCAAAACTCAAATGAGTTCTGTTGTGCCTTGGCCTTCTCATAAATGTGTTCTCTGCCCTCAGGAAGCAAAACCCCTGAAGTCAGTTGAGAAGAACTAGTCCTGTAATATTTGATGTATTTTACAGGAATGAATTCAAATAGGGATTTATTTAAAGGGCTATTTATGATTTTTCCAAGTTGTTGGTAAATGTTCTGTTACATTGAAACAGAATTTAGATTCACTCTTAACAAACTCTTAACAAACAGAATTGTCAGTATGTGTTAGGACTGAGAGACACCTTTTGTTGGTGGCTGGGTGCAGAGAACAAATATGAGATTTCCTCACTTCCAGCACAGTTTGTACATCCTGAGCAACACCAACCACGGCGTGTGTAGGCAATAGTCTGTGCCATCTCCTGTGCTGCAATTCCCTTTTAAATGAACTTCATGTCCTGGGGCTAATCTTTGTCATTTTTTTGTGTAATACACATGGCTGCTCTTGCTCTGCTTGTTGATGATGCTTTGGGAGCTGCCCCTCAGGAGTCAGTAGGAGCAGTGAAAGGCCGAGTTACTGCTCAGTGCATGTTGTGTTCTCCAGGCAGCAGCCTGCAGCTCTGCTGGGGAGCCTTTGTGCCCCAGACACCGGGGGCTCGGGGGCAGGGGCACTGCTGCATTCCCTGGGAGCACATTCCCTGGGAGCACATTCCCTGCCAGCTCCCAGTTGTCAGTGCAGTGCAGCCCTTGGAGCTGCAGCTGCCCACCAGCACAGAAATAGCCCCTGAGAGCTGGAGGGGAAAAGGGTTAAAGAGCTTCCCTTTCACCTTGCGCAAATACACAAGGAATACTTGGAAGAGAAAGGGATGTCAGGAATGCTGTCGGGAGGAGGGACAGCTGTTTGTTTTTTGTCCTCCCACAGAGTACAACCTATTTAAATATTTACATGTTCTGTTATTAAAAGACTTTCCTTTCTTTCCCGTACTTTTCTGGTTATTAAGTTATGAATGGTGATGGAGAGATTTGTAATTGCTAATTCTTCCACTTGTAGTGACGTTGGAAAAAAATTTCTATTTTTTTATTTACTCAGAGAAGTATGTTGGTAGAGTTTTCTATCTGATTTAAATGGTTTCACCAAGGATTGTGCTTTTTCTTTTAATATTATTGCTTTTAGTTACTTTGTATATTGTATAATCTTAGGCAATCTGAATATGCAGTAAAAGTAGAAAATTTCAGACAATGCAACCTTGAAGAGAAAATGGTAGAAGATTAATATTAAATGTCATTGCAGAACATTATTAATGCAGATATTAAAGCGCTTGTGGATGCAAAAATTCTGTATTTATTATTCATAAATAGCTCTGAATGGTCACTGGGTCCTTAATTGATTTACACATGGCCTGTTCCAGCCTTGGTAACATCCTGGGCATCCTTCTCCTACAAGATCACTGCATCTAGAACTGTATAACCACTCACAGCATCTATTTGCAACTGCTGAGGAAACATCAGGAGTTAATGATGTGAAACATTTTGGGTTGCAGAGCTCTTGCAGGGGTGGGAAATGTAAAACCAGAACTCCTAAGGCTCCAGGGCAAAGACATCAGCATGTGGTTAGGAAGTAATCTTTTGAAATCAACAGGTCATGGGTGACACCAAATGTGTCCAGAGTCTCTGCTGGGCTGAAGCCTTGGTCATTAATCATTGTTTAAAATTAAGGTGTTTCACCTTAATGTAAAAGGAGTTTCACAAAGAACATGTTTTGCACACAGATCTTCAGTACACAGTCTGAAAGTAATTTGGCAGGAGAAGGAGTGTTGAATTTGGTAGCAGACAGTGAGTGTTTCATGCCCTCGGGTAGTTTTAGCCGGTCAGACTGAGTGGTGTAGCGTTGCTGTTTGGTTTTGAGGAGCAGTTCTGTGTCCCAAGGGAGCCTTCAGACAGTGAAGGTTGCTCCCTTTGTGTTGAGCTGACTGGCAGGCCTCTGACAGACTTTGGCAAGGTTGGTGCTTTGTTCTTCAAATTTTGCACCTTGTAATTGTTATTTTGGAAGTAATTCTTACTCGTCTATAATTACCATCTAATCAAAGATGGTGGCAGAAGTTGTAAATAAAAATTGAACAGAAAATGGCTCAGGTGCAGGGCGCCTCTCGGCGTGTGCCTGGTTTGCCGTGGCTGCACAGGTGATGGCGAGAGAGAAATCTCTGCCACGTTCCAGTGTCCAGAGCTCCGCGGTCTGGGCGGGAGCCACGGTTTGACGCTGGAGTGACTCTGGCGACTACAAATCCCAGGGAGCAGCGCCGAGGGCCGCTCCGGGCGGGCGGGGCCATGGCAGCGGGGCGCTCCCCGGCTCCTGTGCCAGCTGCCGGCGCTCAAAAGCGCCGCTCGGAGCGCCCCGGACTGCCAGCTGCTGTTGCCCTGGGCTCCTCCGCATCCCCGTGTGAGCTCTGACTTGTGCTGTGCTCCGCAGCCTCCCTGCCGGCTGGAAGGAGCCCGCTGGGCCCGTGCCGATGGATGCGATCCTGAACTGCAAGCCGGAGGACCTGGAGGATTACTACAACTTGCTGGGATGCGATGAGCTGTCGACGGTAAGAGCCTCTCCCTTCCCGCCAGTTTATCCACCGTTTGAGCGTGCTCGTGTGGCTGCAGGGAATTTGCAGCTGTCTCTGCGGGTAGGGATATTTGAAATGCCTTGTGCACCTTCTTTCTTGCCACTCCTAGGATCTCCCTTGGAAAGCTCCTGTGTTTTCTCCGACATTAAGAGCCTGGAGTAAGGCTTGGGTTGAAAATGCCATGTAGAACAGGACTGGATTATGGAGAGAGCCAACTGCATGTGTTTGACAGCATCCAAAGAATAGCTTGCCATATATATTATTAGTTTTGAAAACGCAAAAGGAGCTATTTATGTACAAGTAATACAATTAAAGTTCATAGCTTTAGGGCACTGATAACACTGCTGAGTTTCTGGGGCTTTATACATAGTATAATATTTTTTAAAATGTATTCACTTATTCAGATGAAAATAAAACCAATATCTCTTTGTAATTTACCATATTAATATTTTTAATGCTGTTTTTAATAAAATTCAAATACTAGTTTTACTAATTTGTTTTGACAGCAGATACATGATTTATAATGAGATTTAGCGAAGCTATTTTTGAGTGATTTGCAGCTAAAACAAGTGTGCATCATGTTAAAGATGTCCATAGAACTTTTTGTTGGCTAGTCTAGTATGCTGATTTTCTCTCTCTTTTTTTTTTTTTTAAATTTAGCTGTTATATTAACTGGAATTGTGTTTCTGATTTGGAAAAGGAGTTTTGATTACTCTGCTGTAATGAGGGATGTATTCAGCAGAGATAAAAGCTGTCTTTTGCTCAGTAAGTTTAGTCAGATGCTCTCACCTGTCCTAGCGGTGAAGTATAAAGATCAGGAGTAAAGATCTTCAGTGTGTCCCAGAGGGAAATGTAAAGCTGCTCTCGAGGACACTCCCAGAAGTGATCCCAGCAGAGGGCAGTGCTCAAGTCTCCATGCAGCCATGTTCACAGATGCTGTTTCTCACTTTCTACCTCACACTAATTCCTTAAGGGCTTAGCAGTTAATGAACAGTTCAAGTACATGTGATAATGATTTTTTCAAATTGCTTGAAAATGAAATTCAAAAGCTGGAATAAATGCTAATGGGTCCTGAAAACAAGCTGTCGAGTACTCTTTGTTGGGAGAAGCAGCAGATGTTGCTGCACTGTTTTTGACACAGGAGAAAGAACTTGGAGATCCCAGGCTGACTGAGCCCCAGGACCCTGCCTCCCCTCAGGACCCTGCAGTGCCCTTCTGGGGTCTCAGGGGAATTTGGAGCATTACAGGGATTTTGCAGTCTCACCACATTGTACAGGAGTCAAGCATTTGGGCAGGCTGCTGTGGGCATGCACAGCACACACCCAGCTGCAGCACTTTCCTCTGGGCTGCTGAATATCCTGCTCATTGGACCTGGTTAAATTTAAACAGAAACACTCTCAGTTCCTACAGACTTTTTGCTGTATTCAAGTAAACGCAAACCAAGTTCATTCTTGGCTTTGGGTAGAATTGAGCTCACAGACACCTACTTCATCTTCAGATGTGACAGGAAGAGGGGAAGATTTAACCTCCATCCTTCTCCAAGACCAATGCTGTTTTTGTATAGTGGGTATTGGATATCTTTCTTGGTAAAACACCTCACTGTATATTTTATATTAATTTTGTGTATGTTGTATAAACTTCCTATCAAATTTTCTTTCTGCTGACTTTTTTTTTTTAAAGCTGAAAACTTCTACGCTACCCTCCTGCTACATTTTAACCCTCTGTACACATTTTAACTTTAAAATTCCCCTTTAAGCAACTAAGTTTTTGAGATGGTAGCTGGCCATACAGTAACCAGTCTCACCAAGTTCTCTGTACACTGTGTGTGTTTTAAAGTGTCTTACTGACTGCAGATACACCACATTACATCTGTCCCTTAGGAAGGAGCTACTGAGCAGGGTGAAAAGTGTAGAATTCTTAAGATACTACAGTAGATCACATTTTTTCCCAGAACATGCCAACAAGATTTGTCCAGCTAGTCGAGTCAACTGTAATTTTATTCTAAATAAAAAATGCTATGAGACTTAATTTTGAAGTAAATAATTTAAATTGATGTGGCTCTTATGGTTGGACAAATGATAAATTTGTATAAACAGCCTTTGTAGTATGGGAAAGAATGGTAATTTTTGATACCTTAGGGTAAACTGTGAAAGCTTAAGCTGAACTGGAATGATATAAAGAAGTTTTGGCTTCTGAATTATGAGAACCAGCAAGAAACTTGGAAAAGCACTAAACATTTGAAAATCTAAACTGATGCCCACTCCAGTGGCTTCATGGCTCCACATGTGTTAGTTTTTCCAGTGGTTGTAATACTTTATAACAAACTGGGGGAATTTGCAATTAAATTATAAACTAATACATGCCAATATTCTGATGTTGATTATAAAACTATTTTACTCCAAGCCAACTTTTTTGCATGGAAAATTAACTTGAAAGAATATGTACTACTGGTTATGGAGTGAATTATCTTGTGGTATCCAAGATGGAAACCTCATGGGACGCTGGCTGAATCTCCGATGAAGAGGATGTGGAGGAAGCCACCTGAACACACAAATTGATCTTCAGCAATTCAGAGAGCCTTTGCTTCCTGCTGTGAGACTCTGTTGAAAGTTGGAGCTGATTAAACAAAGAGCAACTGAAGGGATGCATTTTGCCTCTGTGGTCAAATGTCTTTGCACATTTTTATAGAGCCATGCTGGATGACTGTGCCTCACAAAAAAAAAGACTAAGGATGAATGCATGGAAAGGAAATTAAATAAGCAGTGTTGCTGGCAGATGGTTGTTGTTACCTACTAGCTTGTAAAATTGAATGGGACAAAATCTTTCAGCATTCCTTGTTGTTCCTCTCAGCCTCTTTCAAAAAGAAAATTTGCAAATCTTTTCTGTGTTTACTCACTTTGTCTCAATATGTTGTTTAGGTTGAGCAGATTCTTGCTGAATATAAGATTAAAGCCCTTGAATGTCATCCTGACAAGCATCCTGGAAACCCCAAAGCAGGTATGTATTCTTTCCTGTGTAAAAACAATAATTTTTTTTTTCTTCTATTAGCATGGCAAGATAGCAAATTCAGCCTTAAAACTTTATTTCCCCTCAATATATTTTAATCATTGTGTGCATTGAGCATGTTCTATTTAAATGTGATATTCTTTCCAGGATTTGCACACTCCTTTGTGATAGTGAAAGAAGACACTTGTTGGATTTTTTTTTTTTTTAGGATCTTGAATCTTTTTTCTTTCTACAGTAGATCATCTGTCAAAATAGAATTTATTTCTGGTGTGTATCCCTTCCCAGACCTATGGAGTTGGTTCACTTCCATGCTCAGTGGCCCTCAAGTGCCACACTTGCATCAATCAGTTAATTTACTGCCAGGAACAAGGCTGTGAGGAGCACATAATTGTGCTTTAGTTTCTTTTAATGTAATTTAATGACTGGAAGTGAAGAGAAGGCAGCCCCAGGAGGAGCCTCTGTTTGCAGAACAGCAGCTGATGTTTGTGTTGATGAGAGGGGGCAGCTCCTCAGAGCTGGGAGGGCTGAGCAGCACCTGGGCTATCTGGGGCCAATCTTTGCCCATTCATAACCACAGAGAGCCCTGGGCAGAGCTCACCAAGGCTGAGATACAAAAATGAGCAGCCAAGTGCCAATATCAGAGCAGCTTTGCTTGTCACAAAGAAATTTTATACTCTCTCTTGACCTGAACATGCCTTATTTACTTTAAATACCTTTCTACAACACTAGTGAGCATTTACTTCATGTGTTTTATTTCATCGGCTTAAAGCTTAATAAAGAGTAATTAAAGTAGACCTTTTATTTGTTGAAAACTAGTAATATTAGAATAAGAAAACCTAGTACAATTGTTCCCTCAGCCTGTTGTCTCTTGTTTGATTTATTGTTACCGATTTTGATTAGTGTTTGGGTGTAGTGTATTTCAAAAGAACTCTCTGTAATTTGTAAACTGGAATAAATGAATGATAGTAATAACAGATCACTGTTCCATTGGTGAGTCATAGATAAAGTCTAAATCTTTATAACCCTTCCACAAATAGTAACATGCAGCTGCATCCTTAGTAACCATTCCATAAAAAATTATCCTGTAGGGAAAAATGAGGGCTCTTACTCATGCAGTCTGGATAACATTTTAGCATACGTGGAAAATACACCTAATAAAATGCACAAAATAATTAATCTGAGCTATATTTAGATTATTATTCTTGTTTGTCAGCTCCTGCTCATCTTTTTTTCTTGCTGCTCATGGTTCTGTTGCCCTGCTCTGCTCTGACTCCTGTGCTGCTGTAGATCTCAGTGTGTCCTTCTAAGCAGTGTTGCTCTAACTTCCCTCTTTAAGGTGGTCTGCAGGGGCTGATTTGTGCCTTTTACCTGCGTACTCTCTAAGTTTCTCTCAAGTTTAGGAGCTTTTGAAGCTGGTAGACAAAGGAACATTTCAGTCCTGATTTGCAGGGGTAGCAGGCCACCAAAGGTGCCATGATCCTAAAGCCAGCCAGAACTGCAAGCTGGAACCAGACCCACATCCCTTGGCCACTTGCTTCTCCTTCTGCCTTCTCCTCTGCTTTGCTCTGAGCCACTGCTGGCACGTCCTCTTGCATCTGAATTCATTTCTTTGCCAACCAAACCTTGTCCTTGGTGTCCTTTTTGCCTGTGTCCCAGTGGAGGATTTCCAGAGGCTGCAGCAGGCCAAGGAGACGCTGACCAACGCGGAGAGCCGGGCGCGTTACGATCACTGGCGCCGCAGCAGAGTCGCCGTCCCGTTCCAGCAGTGGGCGGCGCTGGGCGGCTCCGTCAGAACGGTGGGTGCTGCCCCAGCCGCGGCCCTCGGCAGCGGGAGGAGTCAGTTCCGGGTCTGCTGCACTGCCGGGCTCTGGGCGTGGTGCAGAGACATCCCTGCGCTGTGCGTGTTGAGGAAATTCAGGAGAAACTGGAGGACTTCAGGAGCCCATTCACAGAAGGGAGTTAGGCGTAGTTTTAGAGTGAATTTATCAAGTTTAAGTAACTTAAGGGCTTCAGCCCTTAAGTTACTTAAACTTGATAAATTTCAAATGCTTCAGCTCACTTTGCTTTTGTAGGAAACTTTTATTTCTTTTCAAAGTTAAGTTAAAGCTGGGATCTTTTTATAATATATTCTCCTTTTGGTATATTGCTTATCAGATAGGCTTTCATGCTGTCTGATTAAATAAAGATGTTATTTGAAAAATCCAGAAGGTAGTTCCTTGGAACCCTGGGCTTCCCACAGAGCTTTGGAGGGACCCTGCCAGGCTGGTGGGGTCATCTGACACAGAGGCAGGAGTTTCTGGGGTGATTTCCCTCCTGATTTTGCTATTGTGAAGATTTGGTAGTGTGCCCCTAGTAGAGCTCAATTCCATAATATTGGATTGGGCTACATGGTCATATTTTAAAGCAGGTGAATAAAAGTTTCCTATGTCAATTCTGCCCATCTCGGTTCTGCTTAGGAGAGAAGTTTGAGACATTTCAACTACAGCATTATGCCTGAGCTTAAATGTTTGGTGGAAATATCCAATTAAGCTTAGTTCAGTTCCAAACAGATGTTATTCCACAGACTTTAATATTAAATATTTTCAAATTGCCTTGCCTTCAGAGGGTACTCTGAAGTCAAAGACAGCTTTGAAAATGAACATTTCTGAAGTCACTTAAGCCCTCTTAAAAAAAGTCTGAATTCATGACAGAAGAAACTGGACAAAAGGCCCTTAAAATTCTGATGTACATTTTGTTCTTCACCCCCACCTGACTGCTGTTTGTGACATGTAACCATACTTTCCCCTATCCTATTGATGTGTAGGCTTCTCACTGTGCTTTGTTTAACCATTTATCGCAGCAATATAAATAAGAAAGAGTCATTAAAAACCCTTAAAGCATAGGGCTTAGTTCTTTGTTCTGTTCGCATTCCTTTAGTCAATGCACTGGGCTGTCCAAAGTAAGAAGGACCAAATGCTGGAAGCTCCTGACTTTGGTAATACCAACACCAGAACTAATGAGATGTGGACCCAACAGATGGAAAACAGTGGAGATGGATTATTGGAAGGGAGCAGGGAACAAGAAGATGTTGCAATCCCTGATGTGAAACCACAGTCTTCAAAGAATCCAGACTCCCCAAGTAAGTGAAAATAGCAGTTAGAGAAAATTGCAGTACTCAGGGATTGGCCTGGAACAGGGCTTTCAGTCATGAGAAAGTCTTCTCCAGAACAGTATGGTGAACTTTTAGCTTTTTAAATGTGGTTTTGGGATGGGATTTTGGCTTGGGTTTTATGATTTTGATCACTTATTTAATTTTGAAGTTTTCAGATGCTCCTTCCTCCCTATCCCCAGTTTCCTTGTTTGTTTGCTAGTAAAAGCTGCAACTGGAGAAGAAGGAGAAAAAAATATGCTTCAACCGAAATGGAAAGTTTAGCTTTTCTGATAGATAAAAATGCAAAGTAAAAAGAGAAGGCAGTTATTTTAAGTGACTTTTAAAAATAAATTTTAGAACTGTTAAATAAAATACTTAGGTTTGGCGGATTTTTTTCCATTATTCAGTAGTTTTGGACAGTTTGCATCTGATGAGTTAGTGAGGTCTAAAATTTGAGACTTGAAGGCTTCTTTTGAATTCAAACAGTTTGTTTTTTTTCTAAGTAGTGTATGCACCAGAATAAATGTGTGTTTCAAAAGTGTCACCCACCAGTCAGCCCTTCCTGGCTGTGGTTTAGTACCTGATCAAAGCTTCCTTAGCACCACGGGCACCCTCTGGTCCTTCAGGAGTTTCATAATCCTAGGCCCAGGTTAGTGCAGAACTACTGTTAAAATCCTGTCAATTCTCCCCAGTTTGATCAAACAGGAAATTAGGGTGAACTGTGAGGGGAGCAAAACATAGTGTAATCTCAAATATTTGTAGAATGCACAAAATTGATAAGAAAATTCTACAAGGAAGTGTATGCCAGGCCTAACTGAAAACTTGATTTTGAAAAATTATGCTCTATAACTTCATACTATTTGCTTTGGTAATTAAGTGATCACTGTATCCTTTGTAGAACAGTAAAATTTTGAAGTAAAGAAAACATAATCTTGTTCCTTGTAATGGTTATTTTTTTTTTTCAGGCATCTTCTTTCTCAAGTTGTTTTTTTGGTTTTTTTTGTTTTTTTTTTTACATTTAAATTTAATTTCCAGGTATTTGAATGCAAAAACCTGCAAACTCATCAAGTGCCTACTTCCTTTATCCACTGGCATATATTCACATTAATAAATGTTAATATTATAATATATTTGACAGAGTGTGTATGCACTTCAGTGCTTATACCTGATGTTAGGATGTTGATAATGTTTTTGTTTTGATCCAGCAAAAATTGATATCTTGAGTTCCACTTTGAAACTGTGGCATTGTCTGTTCCTGTCTGCTGGCCTGGATGAATTCTGGACTGCCACCTGCCTGGCTATTTCATTTCAAACAGATATGAGGGCTAATTCTGCTCGTAGGATTCCGTTTGCTGTAAAAGGAAGGTCACATTTTGGTATGAAAAGGCCCCAGATCGCCCTTGCAGATTTATCACATCACCACCTCCATGTTCTTCCTTAGATTAGTCCAATGCAATTTGCTCAGTTTTCCTTTGTGAGTCCCTTTAGGGTCTGCTGGGTCCTTGCTGCTCTCCTTGGCACCCTCCCAGCAGATCTCTGTGCTGGAGGTTGGTGTGTGAGCTCCTGTTCCAGCCGGCTGAGATCTCCGTGCTCCTCTTTGTCCGTGCTAGTCAAGAGCACTGGAAGTGACCATTTCTCTGCTTACTTCTTTTTGGGAAGACCATCAAGTGTTATTTCAGAAAATTTAATTTTGTGCATGTTTATAATAATTTAGTTGTCTTTCTCTTTTTTCCCCTCAGGATTTTCAGAGGGCAATTACTGGCACTTGCGTTTCCGCTGGTCAGGCGATGCTCCATCAGACCTTCTGAGGAAATTCAGAAACTATGAGATCTAAAATGAGAAACACACAGGAGCATGAGATCATCTGTTCAGCATTCAGTTTGGGTTTTTAACAGCAGTTACAAGTTATTTGTATTTTGTATTCTCTGATTGTAATGTGTTGTTCTAGTCAATATCTAAATACTGATTTATCACACCTACTGTGAGCGTTACAGATGGAGGTTTTTCTGTTCAATAAGCAAAGCCCTTTTCAGTATTAATATAAAGGGATGTTGTGAGGTTATCTAACATCTAGTATATTGTTTCTTGTATTCTCAAATATTGTGTAGTGATTAATATTTCTTTCAATAGTGTGATGTTATAAAAAACATACTCTCAGTAGAACCCTGGGCTCCAGGGTATCCTACTCAGCGTGGATCTTCCAAAAGCTTTATGACAAAGAACTGTAAACAGAGCTGTGCTTATCTCTTAACTCTGTGCTCTGCTTCACTTCTCCATTGCATTGTACTCACTGCAGTGATTTATTATGTACTCATTACAAACTTAACTTGTAGGAGAGTTGTGATCTTATGTTATAGATGAAATAAGAAGCTTCTTGTTATCCAAGGTCTCTGCGACAGATCAAGCACTCCTAAAAAGCACTTATCTTCTACCTTAACAAGAACACTTTTTGCACTATCTGTTTGTTTTGGAAGGTAGTTTCAGAGCTTTACTTCTCCAGATAGCAATTTTTGGTTTATGATGTATTGGTGGAAAACGCATCCCCATTGTCCCGTGGCTTCATAGCAATTCTCCTCCCTGCTCAGGTGTGCTAGACATGGTTTTACCAGGGTTTTGTACAGTGAGGAATGAAAAATCAGACTAGTCAGCACTAATGTGTACAAAATCTCACATGAAAAGTTTTTTGATACTTTGGGCAACTTCAAATTCTACATTATTATTTATTTATTTTGTGTTTGTTTTCTTCTTTGCAAACTTGGCTAATATGTCAGGTATTGACATTGTGGTTTTGCGCAGGCAGATAATTCCATCAGTAGCAAATAAAAGTTTATGCATACAGAAAAGAGGTTTCTTTCATGTTTTTAATTAAATCCTCCACCCACCACAGAGATTCCTTTGGAATTTCTTAGTGGATAAAAGCTTAAGGAGTCCAGTTATGAATCCCAATGGAGAGTGTAACCCGGCAAGTGCAGTGTTGTCCCACGTGGGACGATCTGCTGTCTGTCTGTCCCTGCAGGGATGTGTGTGTCTGGGCCGTGCTGTGCTGTGCTGCTGAGTTACTGTGCCCCTCCTGTTTGCCACATCCCGTGCCCCCGGTGCTGTTACCCAGTAACGGGTGGAGCTTGCTGACCTCGTGGGCACCCGGAGCCTGCAGCCAGCCGCTGCCCTGGGGCTGCCCCTGCTGCCAGCGCTGCTGCTGCTGGTCCCGGCTGTAAGAGCTGAGTGCTGGAGCTGTGCTGCTACAGCCACGCTGGCCCGAGAGTGGATGGCACTGCTACCAAGAGCCACTTCTGCAGCACATCATCTTTCATTTTAATGCTTCTCCCTTGCACATTTTGCAGCTGCAAACATTACAAGATGAGAGTAATAATTCTCTGTAACATTTGATAAATGTAACTGGTTTGTTTTTTTCTGATGCATTTGCTGGCTTTACTTCATACAAAGGTATTTGCTCAAGAAAGACTTTGGTCCATTTTATATAATGTCTGTCAAACAATTGTAACAGAAGAAACTCTTACTGTATGTGAAGAATACTAAGTAATAGGGAGCAATTTTCTCTGCAACAAAAAAATGGAAAGCCAGCTGGAGCACTTTGAATCAGATGGGAGTCCAGATTCTCCTCTGCCCATTTCACTTGCCAGTAAAGGTAAAAGGGGATAGTTGGATGGATGATTTAGCACCTAATGAGCTGGTTTCCTTTGAGAAGTGAACACACAATAGACCTTTGAACAGCAAACCAATAGTTTGTGTCATTAAAACTGATGTCATTATTAGCCAATTATTGCGTGGTTGGTTTTGGCAAAGAACCTTTGGATGTTTGTTCTGGATGAATAACTGCAGCTATTCGGAAGGCTCTTAGCCCAAAAAGCTCATGGCAAAAGTTGTGTTTTGCAACAACCTGCTCAAGAGCAGCCCTGTAATTTGTATTTGTCCTCATGAGGAGGGCAGGTTCTAACTGGTGTTCCAGTACACCAGTGCCACCAATACAGACTCTTTTTTTCCATTTCTGTACGTGTTAAACTTGAATTAGTATGTTTTTCTGTATTTCTTGAGTGGAATGAATCTAGTCCTAGCAGAGCAAACTCAGATGAATTGGAAAACAAGAGGAGCCTGTGCACCCTGTTCTGCTTTTTATTCCCCAGAACCAGGTGGGACCTGACCTGTTGCCCAGTAACAAGAGTTAACTGGAATGAGTGGGCAGCCCCGTTCTCCCTCACACCAGAAAGTAAAGAAAGCACCTGACAGCTTAGTCAGTGTTAGATCATTCAGGGTCTACACCCCAAGCACAAACTGTTTATCTGCTTCTTTAAAGATAGAGTACTTTTAGAAACTTTTTGCTAGCAGTGTGAAAAGATCTAGTGAATGTTGCACTTGACATTTGAGCAGCAGTCATTGGGGTGCTTTGGCCCCTGCACTGGTGAGCACCAAATGTAATTCACATGCTGGAACTTTAACTGGGGCAGGGGTTGTGTGGTGGATCTCAGGCTCTGTCAAGGTGTGATTAAGGCAACAGAGTCAGAGGTTTGTGGTTTTCAGGGGCCCCCTGAGATCTTTAACTCTCTTTGCAAAGTGGAGACAGCAGCAAAGGGTTGTCTGTGGGAGTGGGGAGCAGCAGCAACAAGCCCAGACACCATTTATTAGATTAGGAGTTTCAGCTTGGAGGAGGGAAGGCAGCCCTCTGAGGATGTGGTAAGCTCCTGTTCTCTTCTTGAGCTCCCCCTGGGAGCTGCTGAGGTGGGCAGTAAAGGATCCCGATTGTTTTGGGTACGTGAGGGCTCTGATCTACTGTGCTGTGTTACAGCTCTGAATGATTTGGTATGAAAATAAACAGAGTTGTGAGGTGAGCCCAGATCCTCTGGAGTCCTGACAGAAACGTTGATAAAACCCAGCCATCACTGGACTTGTGAAGGCTGAGGAGTTTTCATCTGGAAGTTATGAAACAGCAGATGGGGTGCAGGTGTATGATGACAAAATACAGAGTATACGGAACGTTGTTCAATGCTGTGTTCCCAGGCCTTTGAACTATTTTTAAACAGGAATTAAGTGGTAGTTAGCCAGTTAGTCACAGTGAAACTGAATAGCATGGGGGGATTCTAGAATTATATAAAATTATTATATCTTTATCTGCTGTTGTTATACTTGTGCAAGTGCAGAATATATAAGATTGTCAAGAGCTAAACATCCTCAACACTTTTTTTGCCAGTATTTGAGAAGTTGCTTTGCCAACATTTGCCAAGTGACAGTGTAAGACTTAGTTTGGATGATAAACACAGACAGTACCTGACTTAAAATCTCAGACTGAGTAATGCTGAATGATGGGTAAGGTGGTTTCTTGATTGTTTGTTTTCCTCTTTAAATGAGATTTTTAACAAAGGCAGTTTATTTGTTCTATAATAGAAGCAAGTCTCCTGATTATTAAAAGAGATACTGTGTATCTTTAATTTCCTGAGCATGAACATTGCTATCTTACCTTCCCAGCAGGCTCATCTCTCAGGATATGAAAGTGTAAGCAGTGAGGCTGTTGTAAAGCTGATGAAATCACACAGCAGAAGATAAAGCCACTCGGTGGGCTGTAGGGCTGTGTCACCGCCAGACGGGCAGATGTTCTCGGGTGTTTGATGGCAGCCCGAGCACACGCTGCCTGCCGCTTCCTCAGCCCTGCTGTGGTGCTGGGGCCACGCGTGGGAGGAGGCTGGCACACCTGGTGGTGAGAGCTCACATCTGGCCAGTCACAGGGTGGGGAGTGCTGCCCCATTTTGTTTTTCCTGGTTATTAATGGCATAGTAACTTCTGCCGGTTTTTCCCCGTCAATACCATACTGTGTGAGTATGTGCATCATGCATGTGCAGAAGGTCATAAAAGGCAGGAAAAGAGGATTGAGGGGTCCCCCTCACTGGAGGTCCAGGAGGAATCACAGCAGCTTCCTTCAGGAAAGGCAAGGTTTGATGGAGCAAGTCCATTCCTTGCATAGAAGCCTTCTGCTGACAAGATTTAATTTATTTTTGTTCTGCCTCTACGTCCAGCTGTAGGACGTAGGGGCAGAACAATGGACCTTTGGGTGAATCAGAACGTTGTTTGTGTGTAAGCCATGGGATAATCCTGAGCTGGCACTGTCTGTCCTGTCTGCAGGGCCTGGACTGAGCTGTGCAAAGAGCACCAAACCCAGGGGCCCTTCTCTCACTCCATCGAGGGCTCTGGTCACTGCTTGCAACACCAGAACCTTGCTCTGGGACCTGCTCCTGCTTTGGCACTACTGTTCCTCCTGGCAGGGCCAGGGGAGGAGCACGTAGGCACGGCTGATCAGCTGCAGCAGGATAAATATCACAGGGCAACAAAGATGGTGGGGGGACTGGAGCATCTCTCATGAGGAAAGGCTGAGGGAGCTGTGCCTATTTAGTGTCACCAAGAGATGACTGAGAGAGGACCTCCTTAATGGGTACAAATACCCAAAAGGGCGTCAGGAAGGTGGAGTAGGCTCGGTGGTGCCCAGCGATGGGACCAGAGGCAATGACCGGGAACTGTTGCACGGGAAGTGCTGCACAGGAGCTGCCTCCTGAGCGTGCTTCCTTCCCGTGCAGTGACCCAGCACCGGAGCAGCTTGACTCGCCTCCCTCACGGGAGAGGTTCCCGAGCCAGCTGGATAGGGCCGTGCCGGTGCTCCGGGACCCCCGCAGCAGCAGTGATCCGCTGTGCGGAGCCTGCCCCGCTGTGTGCCGTTATCCCTGCTGATCGCTCTGGGCGCTGCGGCGGCCGTCAGAGGAAAGGAGCCGCGAGCAGCAAAACTTGCACACGACAGAGAACAAGGAAGGAACAAAAAAAAACGGAAGCCCCTCTGGGCCGCAGCGAGCAGGGTTCGAACCTGCGCGGGGAGACCCCATTGGATTTCAAGTCCAACGCCTTAACCACTCGGCCATCGCTGCTGATGCTGTTGAGTCTGCCAGCCTGCAGCCTTATAGGGCGTTTCGCCCGCGGTAGGCCCCGCCCCGAGCCCGCGCAGCCAATGAGCGCCGCCGGGCCCGGCCCCGCCCCCGCAGCAATGGCGGCCGCGGCTCGGCCGGCGCAGGGCGGGAGGAGCAAAGGCCGGGTCAGACCGCAGAGACTGCGTCCGCTCCTGCGAGTTAAACCCGAGTCTGACAGGGAGCAGGCAGCCAGGAACTGCAGGAGACAGCAGCCATTAGGTGTTGCATTAGCTTTCAGCGGCGTTAATGCTTTTCCTAGTTGTACTGTTTCAGTTATTGCAAAATCTCGAAAGGTCTCTGTCATAGGCCTTTATATGTAATTTAATTCCCTGTAGATAATTTTTTAATCTAGTAGTACGATGGAAATTGAATTTCATTTGACTTTCTACCTGTGTTGCAATGGGTAAAAATAATAATGTTTCCTGATTTTTAATTTCTACACTCAGAGCTTTCGTTTTATTATTATAAGTAGCTGGAGTGATATTGGCGACATCCTGACTTGTTTGGTTGGTTTTTTTTTAATTGTTTATGTATTTATTTTCTTTAGCCAGCAGCTGCTTTGTGCTCACGTGTAGGACTCGAGACCGAGTGTGCAGTGTCAGTTTGAACGAATCCGGGCCCCGGGGCTGTTGGGCACCCGTGAGCGGGGCCGAGGCAGCTCCTGCGGGCGTCTCCGGCTCCTGGCAGAGCTGCAGGGACCCCCAGCGTTCCCCGCGCAAGCTGCAGCCGCAGGGCCGCGCCTTGAGGGGCCCATCCCTGCCAGGAGCAGCGACACAAGTGCTTTGAATAAAAAAGTTATCAATTTTTTTAAAGTCGCAAAGTTAAAAAAAGTTGAACTGATTGCTGTTAAATTGAAAGTTACCTGCATGTTGCAGCCCCCTATT